ACGAAGCTCAACTTATGAGTTCGTGTGCCGATCATCGGTCGGAGGAGAAGCCGACTTCCATTTCGTGGTGGAGATCAACGCCATCACTATGGAGTGGAAGGTCAAGGAATTCGAGCCTGAGCGGAAATCCATTGCCGTACATTGCACGAAAAGGGCCTGGGACTTTTGCCTCACGGTCTCGACCTCGGAGAGCCTTGACCACGCGTGCGGTGACTTCGCCTCAGAGCTTGTCCGCTCTCTCCGAGTCCTGTATGTTCAGCCCTTTCCAGATAATTTTCCGACGCTTGGATTTGTTACGCTTGCTAACTATCGCAATTCACTCTAGGCCCCATTCAGACTCCATCCCCGAGTTGGAGGTCTCTTACGATATTTCTTGTACCGTAGAGATACTCGCGGTCCGCACGCGGAACACGGCTTGTTGCACAAGTGAAAAGGTCCTGCTCAATGCACCTTCTGTCGACGACTACCAGAGACTGGACGTCTCTGAAGTCTGGGAGATGGCCCGACTTAGCAAGAACCTTGACGGGCGGACTTTGCGCCTCAAGTTTGCTCTCTATCAGACCCCGCTGATTAGCGACGTCAGTGGCAGCAGTCACCCGGTAAAGTGGTACGAGGCTTCCTTGAGATCGCACAAGATCTCAGCTGCTTTGGACCAGAGCCGGAAGCTAGAGCTTGGCGACGAAGCCGACTGGAAGGCGGAGGATCTCGTAGACAGCGGATCTGTCGACAAGTTGATTGAGAAGGCAGCAGAAGTGGTGAAGAAGCTGGATAGCGTGGGCTATTGGAATGATAACGAACAGGGGGAGCGGATGCAGGTACACGCGCCGAAGAAATCGGCCCGGAAGGAGTTGGACATATTCTGGTGAGCCTTGTCATCCGTGTGAGAGACTCTTTCCATCGTTCTGGTTTATGACATAGGGCAAGACTTTGGTTTCTGAGCTTCGTCAGTTTGCTTCGAGCAATCTACACGAAGATACATGGATTCATATACTGAAGTAGGGATAGAGGTTGACTGAATGTCGGCACGTATCCGATAGCAAAGTTGCCTGTTTGGCACACTGGCTTGATGAGAGGCATCGCATAGCTTAGTTTCAGTCAGTTGCGAGGATAGAGAATCAATCGCGCGTGTTTTTCTTTGCTCTTCATTGCTTTTCTTGTTGTTTTTCTTCTTCCGTTTTTCTTTTCTCTCCGTGCCCTTGCCCCCGTACTTCTGACGCATTTTGGAAGAACTGAGCCTGGTGGTGTGTGGTAGTGGGAAATCTGTCCAACTGCAAGTTTAAAGATGCGTGTTAGCAAGCTCCTGGATGATGTGAATGATGTGGTGGTGGTCAGTACGTGGCATTTGCGGGCACGAATCGAACGGACTATAAATTGCAAGCCATTTCCGAAAGGCGGGGATTTGTAGAGAACAAGGCTTGATCTACATAGATACTTACTTACCGGCTTCACTGGGGTGGTCATTTTCTGTTTCCCTTTATGCCTTCAGGATTAAAACAAGTTTTACAGGAAGGAGGGGGGAAACAGAAGGGGGAAGGGGAAAGAAATAGAAGGTGGGTAAATAGTCTAGAGAGTAAAGAGAAAATGAGAGGTGAAGGACTAGTCTAGATTAAAGGGTAGCAGAAAGGGGAACAGGGGGGATAAATAAAGGAGGAAGAAAGGCGGGGTAGAGAGGGGAGGGAAAAAGGGGAAGAGGGAGAGGAGAAGCAAAGCAGGAAACAAAATATAAACCAAGGCTATATATAATGCGGTTATAAAAAATTTAATTATATATACCAGATAATCTCAATACTAAAACTCATTTAATGAATTAGTACTTAATATTGGCACCGTAGAAATATGAAAGGGGGAGGTAAAAGCATAAAAAGGGGAAAGAAAAGGGGAGAGGAAAGGGGGTAAAACACAAAGAGACAAGATTATCCTGTCTTGTCAAGTAGGTACCTATCTCGTATAAAATGTCTCTCGTTCCTGCCAGCTTACCTACCTACTTCAAAGTTATGTATGTATGTAAGTAGTTAGGTTAGGTTCTCTCTTCTCATCTATATGCCAAGTATGTATATCGATACAGGATGTGCTATCATCATTCCAATATACTCTGCACAACTCTGGTCTTACTCTACTTACACTGCACTATGTCTAACTCTACCCGACGTGGTGGTTTACTGCCATTTTAGACCCTTCCGACTTGATTCCGTTATTGACTTGGTCACGGTCGGGGTTTTAACTAACGGCCAGGACTCCTTCGGGATTTTGAATACACTTGCCAATACCTTATCCAAAGTCAAGCCGACGGGATGAACGTGAAGCTGGTACTTGCATTGTAAACATGGACATAAGCTACTCCACTGCCGCTGCAACTACCTTGTAATGGAAAAAGAAACTTCGGCAGACGTAGAACGGTCCAGGCGAGAACCATCTTCATCATCATAGTATCAATGAGAAGCGCAATAGACATATCCCACCCCTCCTAGCTAAACTAAATAACTACCTAACCTAAAGTGCACTCAGATCCAGCGGCACGCTGCTGCCGCGACCGGCGCGGTATCTCTTAACACTGGGCTGGAACGGCCGGGGCCTGGGGAACTGGCTCTCCTCCACGAACCGCCACCTGTTATCCTGGACAACGAAGCGCGTTCCACTGCCACCATTCCGTGAACTCGAGACCGGGCTCGGACTCTTCGTCGTCATGGAAGAAGATCCGTTGGTGGGCGCCAGCGTGTAAGAGCTGGGATCGAGCATTGAGCGAAGGTGCGAGCTCTCTCTCACGCGACTGACGGCCAGCGGCGTCGGTTCTATCGACGAAGGCGGGGCTGAAGCCGGAGGAGATGGTGCGGCGGCCGGGGGCGGTGGCGGTGGAGGTGCGGGAGGTGCTGCCGTTGGTATCGAGGAACGTTCGCTCATGGCTCGCGCGACTGCTTGTATAGCGATATTCGGTACCTGCGCAGGAGCGGGTGGCGGGGGAGGCGGGGGAGGTGGCTGTGTGCGTGAAGATGCGATTGGCGGTCGCGGGGCAGCCGCTGGAGGTGGCGGAGGAGGAGGAGGAGGAGGAGTCGGTGCCGAAGAAGGAGGAAGCGGTGGTGGCGCGGGTGGCGCCGGTGCCAATGATGGTGGCGGCGGAGGTGGTGCGGGCGGCGCTGGTGCCGATGATGGTGGTGGCGGAGGTGGTGCGGGCAGCGCCGGTGCCGATGCTGGCGGTGGCGGAGGAGGAGGGACCGGTGCTAGTGATGATGGTAGTGGTGGAGGAGGAGGGGCGGGTGCGCCGGGTATAGGTGGCGGCTGGGTGGGGACCGCTGTTGTCGAGGCCGGTTTTCTAGTGCTGGGCCGTGGAGGAGGTTTCTTTCCCACTGGGGGAGCCGGGCCTTTAGGCGGGGTTGACGCCGATGAAAGAGGTCGCGGCACGCTGCTGCTGCTGTCTACGCTTCGGAGATTTGCTACTAACGGATTGATAGCTTTAGGGAGCTCTGGTACAAAGCGCCCGGGTATAGGAGGGGCGGATCCAGCAGGCGGTCGTGGTGCCGAAGGTGGTGCTGAAGGCGGTGCCGAAGGTGGTTTTGGGGCGGATGAGCTTTCGTTGTCTAGATATGAGGCACCCTGGTCCGCTACAAGGAACAGTTAGACGCCGAATACCGTAATATCAACAAGACAAAATATGAGGGAAGGTTACTTACCGCCAGTATCTATACCACCACCGCGCTTCTTCAACTTTGGCATACCCCCTGCGAACAGGCCAGCCAGTTGTGGTGGTCCATCGGTCGTAGGAGTGTCCCGGCTGCCCTGATCGCTATTACTTCTCGCCCGGTTCCCTGGAACAGGAGGAGCCAGGCCTCCCGGCGCCTTCGGAAGGACGGGAATCGGTGGCGCGCCTCCGATTGCTGGTGCGCCTCCCGAACCCGAAACCTTTCCAACTATGGGAGCCGATCGATCGTTTGTGACAGCCTTTCTCAGTGCCCTTCCCTTTTGGATGTCTCCAAGTAACGCGCCCTTTTCATAGACGAGTCAGATATGAGACGTAGAGTTCTCTTATTTCCAGAGTTGTGACTTACGCGACCTGCGCCGGTGGGCGGACGTGCTGGTAGCCCACCAGGAGGAGGTGGAGGAGGAGGTGGTGGCCCTCCTATGCCTCTACCCATGCCCGTCGGGGGAGGAGGGGGAGGAGGCGGCGGCGGAGGCATTCTGTCAAGGTCGGCTCCGTCGCCTCAGGATGTGTTTATGTTTTATTTTGTGGTTCCTGTTGTCGGGTTGTCTAACACGAATACAGTGTCGGTCGAACCTGTCACGAGATTACTGTCGGAGTCAGGGTCGTGGTTACAGATTGGAAACTGTCGAGCTTGGGTCTCGTCCGGTGTGGGCGTTACATTTGACAGTAAGTAAGTATTCAACGAGCAACTTATTTCTCTTGAAGAAGTACAACTATTGACAAGTTAAAGCTCAACACCGGCATTGGGCGCAAATCAATGTTGTTGAAGGAGGCTGTCTTGTTACTGATGCCTGGTTCTGGCTTTGGGCAAGGACCCCACAGGACCCTGTTCTGTGTACGTCAGCGCCTGTACCATCAGTTGTGGCGCAACTTCCAGTACTGAGCCACAGGAGAGACAATGCCCTCCCTGATGAAAAGTGTTTTTGCTTTCTTTGGCTATGTTTGAAGAAAGAAGTTTGTTTATTTATATCTACTGTTTTATAAAAAATCATATGCTCTTTCAGTTGAGCTGTTATATGACCCATCGAGTCTCTGCCAATCTGAAGATGCAAGGGTGCATGGTATCTTGAAGTCAGCCACAGGTTACACGCTCTGTATCAGTCAAACACAAAGGACCTCGAGTTGCATCTTGTTAAGGTTAAACGACAAACGTCGGGTGCACAACTTGGGAATATCATGTCTTGAAAGTGATGAACAAATGGTAATACGGACCATTATCAAGCACAAATTACAACAACTTTGTCCGAGCAACGATTGGCGTCGCTGATCATAGGACGTCTTGAGAAGCGACATTTCAACATCCAATGGTGAGATGGCCGAGTGGTTATGGCGCTGCGTTCAGGTTCCAATCTGAACAAGATAAAAACTTCGCAGTGGAGCAATCCGCGTGGGTTCGAGTCCCACTCTCATCATTCAGCCGCTCCAGAGTCCATCAAGATTCCGGACAAGCTCTCTTTTTCCAAGTATGATTTTTTTTTTTGTCACAGAGAATGGGAGGGAACAAGCACTCATTTGACCTGAGAATCCTCTTACTCTCAGCATCTTACTTGATACTGAACAACAGCCTATCTGAACTTCCTAGGTTAGTACTTGCGCACAAATTCTGCTGCCTTGGCCGCAACATCATCTGCACTTTTGCCGAAGCCCGCAACATCTCCAGTGAGAAATGTATCGTGGACGGCGTCCTTCTCGTGGTAAATCTCCACCACGTTCCCCGGCACTCCGCGCATCTCGTCTGCCCAGCGCGTGATGCGCTCGAAGAACATCTCGGCATCCCCGGCGTGGGCGAATATGGGAACTGGTGTCGCGAACGGGTTTCCCAGAGAAGTGATGTAAGGGTCATCTTCCGCATTGGGCCGGCTCCCTCCGTACGTGAGCGCGCCCCAGCGCGGGTACGAGCCCGGGATGAAATCAGTCGAGCGGTGTGGGTTGCCGGCCGTCACGTATTGGAACGGCGCCACCCACGGCGAGATGAGGACCGCGCACTTGGGCTGTGGTGTATTGGCACCGAACTCGGCGAGATATCGCAGCAGAGCGGTCGCGAGATTGCCGCCTGAGCTGTCGCCGCATATGATTATCTGAGCGGCTGGGACGTGGACTACGTTGAGGAGGTACACAGGTAGCTGGAGAAGGCGTCCTGCAGTGCTGCTGGGTAGGGGTTCTGGCCGCGCCACCCGGAGAGACGGTACTGGACCGAGAAGACGGCGTCGCCGACGTCGAACTTGAGAAGTCTCTTGCTGATCTGACCGCAGCTCACGTCTCGCCCGTCGCCTTGGATGAAGGCGCCTCCGTGGAAATAGAGGATGACCCTCTTTGAACCTACGCCCGCCCCGCCGATATCGGGTGCGTGCGGGATCCATGTGCCTCCAATCGTAGCGGGCTTGACGACATCTGAAGCCAGAGGCCCTTTGTAGATGTCCGCATTAGAACGTTTGACGATCTGAAATCTATCCCCTTCCTTGCCTGGATCCAAGGTGAGTTCTTCCGTAATCCCGACGCGCGAATAGACGTCCAGGAGAGAGAAGAGGACGCGGGTCATTAAAGGTCTGCTTGGCGCTCCAGTTGGGGTTGGGCCGGAAGGCAGGGACGAAGGCCACCACGGCGAAGTACGGCAGTCGTGCGATGATTGTCAGGTAGTACGACAGCTGGAATAAGAGCCTCAGCGGCTGGTAGGATACCAGTGGATGTCCGTTTCCGCGCCTCATGTTGTTGTCCTTGTGATTTTCCAGAGATTCGGGTTGAGGAACTTGTTTTTGTTCCGGAGTTGGAGAGTATGGGAAGTTTGGAGACAGCTTGAAAGATTTTGTACTACCCGACAACCGACAACACTGGCAGACATGCCAGTTGGCTGCAAGGGATGCTCTGTTGGTGCAGCGATCGTGCAGTGTGTTTGTGTTGGCTCAAGTTACTTGAAAGAGAAAGAGGGGCTTCAGAGCCTGACCAGTGGATCATGGGGCCGAATATCATGTCTGCGATTCCGTTCTGTTCATGTCACAGCCTGGCCTTGATAGATGTGACTGATCGGTGTGTACTCCTCATCTTCGGGATTAAGGTCAGTCAGGCTTCATTCAGCAAAATGTTGGCTGTCTGTTTGTGTTACCCGAAAGTCTCTCGGTCGTCCGAATATTCTCTCACCCAATTTCGTCTCTCCCTCCCTCCCTTTCAGTCCTTTTCCCAAACTCAACTCTTGTATACCAAATCTATACACCACAGAGGCTTGTATCATCACATCACACCTTATAATCACCATGCTCATCGAGGTCATCTCACTCCTTGTGTTGGCTTGGGTTTCGGCAGCGACTGTCGATCGTTACCATAGCCATAAGATTCGGCTCTCGAGACTCGGCACAAGCCCTGGACCATTTGGTCTTCTCACTTGGTGGGGCCGGTGGAAATGGCTCAAACACGGCCACGGACTGGTTATACAGAACTATGCAAAAGTAGCAGTGCCACCCACCGCAGAACACAGTTATGTGATACTGACGATGGCTTTTTGAAAAGAGCAAATCGACAAATTCCAACTATGTCATCCAGACCTTGACGGGCGATCTTGTCGTGCTCGCTCCCAAGTATCTCGACGAACTCAACATGCTCCCAGAATCCAAGCTGAGCTCGACGAAGCGGCTGGTAGACAGTGTCATGGGTGAGCATACGGGTGTAGACCTTCTTTTACAGGACCACTTGTCATCCGACATCTGCAGAGGGCCCCTGAGGAAGAACTTGCGTAAGCACCTGCATCCCGGAAGCCCCGGCCTCGTTGGTGCGGCTACAAAGGCTAAGATAGACAGCCACGTTCATTCCCTTGATGGCCGAGCAGCTTCAAGTGTGCTTGTCACGTCTCTTCGAAAGAGAAGCCACTGGAGGTGAGTCCCGAGCTATTCCCAATGCGTTTGCACGCGTACAGGCCAACTTATCTCTGACCGGGGCGTGTATATTATTATATAACCAGGCGGGCTCACCAAGGTCGGCTACGAGTTATCCTACTACTTGGTAGAAAGCGTCACCTCACTTGTATTTGTCGGGAAGGAACATTGTGAGAACAAGATATGGAAGGATGCTCTCGCCGCTCTTCCATTCCACGTTGAGATAACTAAGTTCATCCTTCTCCCTTTTCCGCGTTGCGTCCGAAGATTCATCGCGTCCTTGATCCCAGACGCAACCAAATCTTCAGGGACCCCGTCACCGTACGACGCGTCCTCTTCCCCTCGTCCACGGAGCCCGTGAGTAGAGAGGAGCCCAGCGTTACGAAGCTTCTGATCGATAGCGGGAAGGACAGAGACCCGGACAGGATCACCGCGAGACTTTTGATCTTGTCAGGCGCGGCAGTGAGTGGTGCCAATTACCCTCTCACATGATGAAAACGGGGGGTGTGGGAATAAGGAATGCTCGCTAATTCTCGTGAAAAATGATTCAGCTTCATACATCATCCATGGCAATGACTCACGCGATATACAACCTCTGCGCCATGCCTCACTATGTCGAGCAGCTTCGGTCGGAAGCCAAAAAGGCGCTGTCAGAGGATGGCGGAGAGTGGAAGTTTACTACTCTGCAGAAGCTCCATCGGCTAGATAGCTTCCTCAAGGAATCTCAACGCTTGAACCACACTACATTTCGTAAGTGCCGATCATATCAATCAATCTCCTTTTCAAACCGCCTGGGGCACTCGGGATGCAGGATTTCTGACAAATTTATTTTGCGGCTGTGAAGTCGGCTTCGATCGCCAGGTCATCTCTCCCATTGAGCTATCGGACGGGAAGACGGTCCTGCCGCCAGGCACCACGGTCGCCGTCCCAGGGGGTCCGATGTCCCTCGATCCGGCCTTCTACGATCTTCCCACCGAGTTCGACGACCTGCGTTTCTACAACCTTGCGCAAAATGATGATCATGAAAAGAGTACTAATAATAAGTACACGTACACGGGCATCGAACCCGGAAACCTCTCGTGGGGCAGCGGCAGGTTCACTTGCCCCGGAAGGTGGTACGCTGACGCGATGATCAAGCTCATACTGGCGAACCTGCTGCTCAAGTACGATGTCTCTTTTTTCCCGAACGGTGTCACGGATAGGCCGCCGAATCGCAAGTACAATACTGAGGTACATCCGGATTTCGAGCAGAAGATTGTCTTGAGGAAGAGGGCTTAACCTAGCTGATGAGAGGGGCTGGGCTTTTTTAACGATTTTTGGGACGAAATTTGATGTGAAGTGGTTTGGGCAGCGCTTTGGTAAATTAGTCTCTATGTGTAGTTAATATTCATCGTTTTTGAAGATATAACTCATCAGCATGAAACAAATAATTCTCTGGTTTAAACTTCACATGTTGAACTCCGTCCCCATGAACTCCGTCCCCAGGTTGCAAGTTTACAAATGAAAATTATTTCCATGAACCATTTGTTATTATGCTACTCACACTAGACCTATTACATTAAAGCCTTCGTCTCACCCTCACACCACGCCACAAACTTGGCCGCTACGCCGTGCTCGCTGATAGCGCTCTCGATGCCCTTGGGCAGGCTCCCGAGGCCTGCCCCACGGGTACACGTACGCTCCGCTCTTATTGTTCGGAGCGGAGACCTCAGGAGCAAGAGCGGCCCAGAGCTCGGTGTACGCGCCGTAGATGGACGGGTGGAGGAGGAATGTGTCCTAGCGAGTGTGGTGTGAGTGAGTGAGTGAGTCGAAATATCAATGAATGTTGTTATGCGAGATAATCTGATCCCTTCTATCTTTTTTGTAAAAAAGAAATTAAGAGGGGGGAAAGGGAGGAGGAGAGAGAGGGGAAAAAAACTCACAGTAAACCAATGGTCCAACCCCGACCAATTCCTCTGTAACTCAGTCCTTAGATTTCCGGGGTTGAACGCCACGTGCGCGATCCCCGTATCCGAATCCCGCTTCGCGCACTCTCTCGCGAGGAAGGCGTTTCCGACTTTGGTCTGCGCGTAGTTGGGCTCGACGCCCAGGTCCTTGGGACGGTTGTTATTGTTGGGCTCGAGCACGAGGCCGTGCGCGTGCGGGGTAGCGACGTGCATGGCGACGGAGGCGGCCCAGAGGACGCGGACGTCGGATTTATTAGTAGTAGTGGTGGTGGTAGTAGTGGTGCTGGCGGTGGTGAGGAGGATGGGCCGCAGGAGTCGGTACAGGAGGTAGTGGCCGAGACAGTTGGTCTCCATTTGCAGTTCGTGGCCTTGGGCGTTGGTGCTGCCTTTGGGGGGGTACATTACCTTTTATTACTTACTCAGTAATGTCTATGAAAGCAGAAGAAGGTTTTGATACAGGAAAGAATTACATAAAAAGGGGGGTTTTGACAACAAATTAGTGATCACATACCCCAGCATTATTAACAAGCACATCCAGACGCTGCTCCTGCGCCAGAAATTTCTCGACGGCGGGTTTGATGGTCGATAGATCGGACAGGTCGA